GGGCAGGTGAGACCCACGTGGAATGAAGCTGAGCAGATGGCACGTGAAGGTGCTGGGTGTGCCTCTGCAGCAAAGCTCTGCTTCATCCCCAGGGCCCCAAGCCCACCCAAAAGGCATCTCCCCAGTGTTTGAAAGAGCTGACCCTTCCCCAAAATACAGAAATTGCAACTTTCTCCAGGAGAAATGCAGAAAAAAACCCCAAGCTCCCATTCCCCAAAGCACCAAAAAAGGGTGAGATAAAGGGGAAATGGGACAAGGAAAGAAGGGGGGAAAGAAAACAGCAACCAAAACACCTCAACATCAAAAGATAAAGCAATCCAAAGTAACCATGAAAAAAAAACAAACCAACAATTGTACATCTTGGCTGCAAAGCTGCCAAACCAAGCAGGTGAGGGTGTGGGTGCTCCCAGGAGCATTGGGTGGTTTGCAGAGCAGGACCGAGGAGGGAGACGTGGAAAACATCAATCATTGTCTTATTTTACATGAAAAATTGGGGTGGGGGGTCTGGGTTGAACCAGAGCTGAGCAGGGTTGGTGCAGCTCAGCCTGGGCTGGTTCTCTGGGGGGCTGTGGGCTCAGGGAAGGGGAGCAGAGCGGTGAGGTGGGAAGTGCTGCTGCATGATGAGGGCTGAAACCATTTGCCCCCGAGCTGGTTCCCCTGGAAGCAGCTCCCAGGAGTAGATGGTGTCAAGGAGCCCAGTTCCCAGGCAGAGGGTCCCCAGCACGGCTGCAGGAGTGGGAGCAATGGATTTAAGGGGATGTGGTTCTTCGTGGGGCAGGGGACCCTGAACGCTGGAACTTGCGCCCTGAAACCCAGACCTCCAGGGCATGAACTTCAGGAAGAACAGTTTTAAAAGATTCAGTTAAAAAATACATCTATTAAAAAAGTCTTAGGCTGGGGTGTCTTCTAGTGACCCCTTCCCCACCACCCTAAATTTAGCCAGAAAATCGTTAGCCATTTCACCCAATGTGCTGGCCATATAGACATTCACACATCCATCACTGATTTAAAAATATAATATATATATATATATAGCTCACACACGGACACACACACAAATATATATTAGAAAAGAAACACAAAAAAAAAAAATACCCTCTGAAAACTCAATCCATTAAAAATAAACCCCAACAAAATCCACAGCCCGTGATCCGCTACAGTAGAAGACACGAAACCCCTCCTGCTCCCAGAGCTC